TGATGAATAAGTGCTTCTTTTTTCGTTTTTTTACAAATGAAATCAGAGAGACTAAGATGTTGAAAATGTTACTTACATGAATGCACTTGCCACAAGCTTCGTCAATCGAAAGACCAGCGAGATCACCGATATTGGTCCAATTATATTTGCTGCGCCATTCGTAGGCTAACCGGCATCATATTTCTTGCAGTAAACATCGTTAGCTTTATTCATGTCCCAGTTGTTCTCCTTGGCAAAGTAGTCGACCCAATGAGCATACGTAGTACGAGGACATTGTGCTGCGCCAGAACCCACCAAACAAGCTAACACGGAAAGATTTAAGCTCATTACAGATCTCTCCATTTCTAGTTTTCCTATGAATCACTGAATCAGATTGTTTTGTGTTGAAATCATTTCCAGGGTGCTCAAATTTATAGGCAAATTGAGGTTCCCTTATTAGACTTGAGACTAAGAAGACCACGTGAATTCTACTTGTTTGTGATTTTTTTTCGTATGAAATAATCATACTAAAAGAAAATTTATTGGGAGTTGGACACAATCTTTAGTGAAGAAATGAAGTAATTATTAATTATTGAATTTTATTTAAGAAACATTAATTATTAATTATTATTGTTACAAATCATCTATTTTAATTAATGTGTATACATCTGCATGTGATTTTCACGCTTCTTATTTTATTAGCATCGATGCAGGTAGTCTCCCTTCCTACTTCAATTATTATTTTTACCATTATTTATTTGGTATAATTTTTTATTTGTAAAAATTATCATACATGATCTTAAAATATTTATTAAATATTTTTAATTGCGATACAGTAAATGACATCCCTAAAATATGAATCACTGAATTATTTGAATTCAGTTTTCCTTAATTTTGTTCTTAAGTCATAAATAGTATCCCAGATGGGAATGTGAAAAATTTATTCCACCTGAAAAATTGACTGAAATTAACTCAAGACTGCATTGTTTGTGATTGAAGATAGTGATGACCTAAAATTGATTCGAGTTTGAATTGGTGTTGACTTGAACTTAAGTTGGATTTGGTTATTTTGGATTTAAGCTCGACCTGAGAACTACTTAAATCTGAATTGAATCTTATAATGTGATAACCGAACTCGACCTGCATCGGATATGATATGAATCTAAACTTGAGATTACCTTGGTAAAGAATCGATATAACCCCATTTAAAACGATATGAGATTTGATTTTACCTTACCTGTTATCAACCCGACTTGTAATTGACTCAATTATTTTTGACCCGACCTATAAATGATTTGACTTGCTATTGACTCAACTTCGAATTTACCTAATTTGTAAGTTATAATTGGTGAAGTCTATGATTTATCGAAGAAGAATGAAGTACTTGAGACTCGAAAGATTATAAATTTATGATATTATAATGTGACAAAATAATTTTTTACCATTGAAGGCACATTATTAATTATGATAATTATATTAATAAGTTCGGTCAGCTCTTTTCTCCATGAAAGGGCTCAAAGCGTCCAGTTACGCCCAGACGGCATTGAACCAATCTTCTATAAGCAGAATTGGGACACGGCGAAAGATACCCTTTTGAACTTTGTAAAGTCAGCCATGAATTCGGGGGCGATAGATACAGGGGTGCTCAAAGCCTTCCTAGTGCTTATTCCCAAAACTAACACTGCTAATTGAATAACTCAGTTTCGTCCGATTAGTCTCTTAAACACTTCATACAAAACTTTCTCCAAGGTCTTGGTGCAACAGCTACCACCGGTTATACAATGTATTTTAGATCTTTACCAAAATAGCTTCTTGGCGGGGAGAAGTTCAACGGACAACATTTTTGGTTGTGCAAGAAGTATAGTCCACGCTATGATAATATTGAAGGGAAGAAAAGGGCTTTTAACCATGAAAATTGATCTCCAAAAAGCTTACCACAATGTGAATTTGTTTTTCCTTAAACAAACTCTTCAAGAGTTTAACTGTCCAGAAGAATTAATCAACATTATAATGTACTATATAAAGTCCAATACGATTGAACAACTATGGAATGGTGAAACGACAGAAAGAATTGAACCGAAACAAGGCTTACGTCAGGGAGACCAGTTGTCGCCTTACCTATTTATCTTAGTAACAGAGACTTTCGCACATGATACTCGAAAAAGAGAACGGAAGTTGGAAGGCTATAAAAGTCTCAAGGGGAGGTACTAAAATTAGTCATATACTTTTTTCCGACGACTTACCGCTTTTTGCCGAGGCAAGAGCGGAGCAAGTGATTCAACTTCGGGAGTGCTTAAAGGAATTAAACCAGGCTTCAGGTTTGGACGTAAATTTACAGAAATCTAAACTTTTTGTTTCCACAAACATAAATTATGATATGTCAAATTACTTAAGCGAGCTTTGTGGTATACCTTTATCGGGTGAATTGGGAACCTATTTGGGAGTTCCAATAATCCATAAAAGGGTTAATGCATGTACTTGTACGCCATTAATCAACAAGGTGATGCGGAAATTGCCAGGATGGAAAGGAAGAGTTCTCTCGATGGCGGGAAGAAGAACCTTAATCCAATCCGTCTAGGCCGCAATACCAGTCCATACGATGCAAACAACAATTCTCCCTACTTTAGTATAAAATAAAATAGACAGCCTAAACTGCAACTTCTTATGGGGTGGAGGAACAGACTATTCTCACAACCATCTAGTTAGTTGGGAAAGAATTTGTAAACCCAAATTCCAAGGAGGTCTAGGTCTACGCAAAACAAGGGTAATGAATTTGGCTTTGATGGCAAAAAATATGGATGGAGAATTTATAATCGCCAAGACACGGTCTGGTATAGAGTTTTTAGGGAGAAATACCTAAAGAAAACAAGTTTCTTTGAAGTTCGACCACGGGCCGATAATTCCTTGGTTTTGAAGGGAAATCTGAGCACTCGCAAACTGGTTAAGATATGATGCAAATGGCAAGTCCGATCAGGAGGCCAAACGAGGTATTGGTATGGTGGGTGGGTGATGCAACTCTATCAAAGACTTATCCAGCAATGGACACCAGTAGCAGGAACGAGACAGTGAAGTGTTACATCACGGAGGAGAAGATATGGAACCTTTAGGACATTCAGGGTATCATCTCGGACGAAACAGGGGAGCAAATCCAAGGGATCCCAATCCCGGTAGGGAATATCAAGCGGAACCGAGATAATGTCTTATGTGGTCTCACCAAAGATGGGAAGTTCACGATAGCTTCGGCTGCCAAAGCTATTACGATCATGGAAATTCCATAGCAACCATCGGAAAACATGAAATGGGTCTGGAGAGTGGAAGCTGCAGAATGGATTAGAGTCTTCATATGGCTTTACAATCTGAATAAATTTAATACTAAGGAAATCCGAGCGAAGAAGAACATGACCCCAAGACGCAAACTGGTTTGGGATGAGTTACATGCAGAATACCAAGATGACCAGTTCGGAACAAGGGTTTTCAAGGAGTGGTTAAGGAAAAACTATTGTTCAAAAAGCGACATGGAAGATGGTTTAAGCTGGGGTATACTCTTCTCAGCGACAATATGGAGTCTTTGGAGGAACATAAACGAAAGGGTCTTTGAAGAGATGGGCGAAAATCCAAGTCGGGTGGCACATTACGCAAATAAGCTGGCAAAGGATACGAGATCAACGTTGACGACAACATACAGACTTGTGATGAGAGAACTGGCTTAGGTAAGATAGATGAAACCTTCGGCAAGTTGTTGGATCATCAACACTGATGGGAGGTGTAAAGTAACCACGGAGTTAGCAACAGCGGGAGGAATAATCAGGGACGAGAATGGAGATTGGATAGGTGGGTTTATGTTGAAAATTGGCAGAACAAACAGCGCCTCCGCGGAACTATGGGGATATAGACGGGTTTAAGGAAAAACTATTGTTCAAAGAGAGACATGGGAGATGGTTTAAGCTAGGGTATACTCTTTTCGGCGACAATATGGAGTCTTTGGAAGAACAGGTCTTCGAAGAGAAGAGCGAAAATCCAAGTCAGGTGGCGAATTACGCACATAAGCTGGCAAGGGATACGAGATCAGCGTTGACGACAACATACAAACTCGTGACGAGAGTACTGGTTTGGGTAAGATAGATGAAACTTCGGCAAGTTACTGGATCATCAACATGGATGGGGTGTAAAACAACCACCGAGTTAGCAAAAGCGGGAGGAATAATCAGGGACGAAAATGGCGATTGGATAGGTGGGTTATGTTGAAAATTGGCAGAACAAGCAGCACCTCCGCGGAGCTATGGGGAGCCTATCAAAGCTCATGAAGAAGTTCCAAAATATCCATGATCTCAATAACCGCTTAGTAACTCATGACACTGCAACTTGAGAATCTGATTCTACGATCAGCTCATGATGAACACCTTTTTCAGCATCATAATATGAATGAAATAAATTTATTTTATTGTTTGCAAGCAGATCATTCACTGACTACAAAGCAATTAGAAGGACCAAAAAAGACAAGGAAAAATTATTGTTGTGATTTGTTGCAAAGAGGATAGTTCGGATAAAATGCATCTTTAAATTATTGGTAAGTTTGCTAATCCTAGATGCTTTAAACGGGTGGAAATTGACAATCTTAACTATTATTATCAAGCCAACTGCCCAATCCATCCCAAGGTTATTTTTTTCGTTGGTTTAATTCTAGAATGATTGGTAGTAAGGTGTTTCTTATAGTAGACAACTGCCCAATCCATCCCAAGGTTATTGAAGGCTTGAGAAACACTAAATTATTCTTTTTGCCTCCAAATTCAACATTGAAAATTCATTCATGTGATGCTAGAATTATTTTATCAGTTAAGATTTATTATCAGTGTTGCTTTCATTCAAGCATCATGGAAAGTTACGAGAAAGGAGAACTAAATCCTAAAAAGTTTAATGTATTTGATACAAGCCATTTTATTAATGTTGTTTGGAATATTGATGTGAAGCCTACAACTATTGCAAATTATTTTTGATATTGTAATATTCGGTTCGATAAATATATGCCTCTCGAACAAGAAATTGGTGATGTTGAAGGTATTCATAAATCTTTGATTGAGTCACTTATGGATGAAGAAATTATTCAAGGAGTAATGGATGTACCAACTGATGACGAGCAACATCCAGATGATAGTAATGTTTTATTATATGTTTCTACAAAAGCGGCTTATTTAGCCATGATTGTGACGGATCAAAAAAAAAATTGTACGTGGATGAGTACGATAAAATTTTAGGGTAGATACAATTAATAAATTAAATAATTAATTGAAAATTTTTGAATTTCAAAAAAAGAAAATTTGTATTTTAGAAAACTGAAGTGCCCACCCTAGAGGCCATGTACATCCACCAGTGGCCGTGGATACCTTGAAGAATTGTTTAATACAACATGAAATGAATGTTCCAGATTTAGCCCTTTTAAAAGGTAAAGATAAAATTGTATTTGATTTGCATGCAAAGAAGAAGCAGTTAATTATAAATGCATATTTTAACAAAAAAATAAACTTGATCAGGCTTAGGATGTTGCAATTATAAATTTATCTTGATAGTTAATCTCTTTATTTTACTTTTTCAAACTTTGATCATTATGCTTTAATAAATTTTAAAAAAACTAATCCAATTGTTAATAAACACATAAACTTGAACTCAAAATCTCATAGATATTAACAGTGTTAATGCTCAATTAACATAAATTCGTTCATTTAACTGTTTCATATACATTGGTTTTGATGGGCTGAATTAGAGAACATGTATTATACTAGATTCAAAACTAATTGATCAGGTTTTGAGATTGCTGGAAAAATTGGACTCTAGTGCTGCCGACAAGCAAGTTAAGGGTATTAGAACAAAGTATATCGCAAGAAATGGTATCATTTAAAGCAATTAGAACAAATTCAAAATAATAGCAATAATAAAAGTTATCATGATCTTTCTAGGAATTAGGAAGGCAGATTTGATCCTATAAAATAAGAACAAAAAAGCATATAAATCATATGTGGGTGTATATAGATTAATTAAAATAAATGAAGTCCAATTAAGAAGAGGATTAAAGTAAAGACAAGTGATGGCTATCCTGTAAAGCCTTTGAGGGGAACTTTGCCTATAAATAAGAGCATATCCCAGGAAAGAATATATCATTCAAAGCAAGCAGAAGAATAGGCCAAAAAGAAAAAGAAGAATGGAGAGATCAGTAATTAGTGTTATAATAATTAGCTGCATTGTGATGTTGGGGTGGGCAATAGGTTCTTCCATGGCTACTGAAGATGCGACAGCTTATTGGACGGACTACAATGTTATAGAGAATGAATGGAGTCTGAAAAAGGTAGGAGTTTACTGCTCCCAGTTCCCTGAATATGCATATAAGCCTTTGGAATGGCGCAGCAAATATTGTTGGACCGCCTTCTGTGGACCGGAGATTCCTAAGCCACAATCAAGATGTGGACTCTGCTTAAAAGTAAGCGCCCTTTGTTTTCAAGCAAAATAAATTTGTTTCTGTTTTACTAGAAACCATGCGTCCATGAATTGACAGAATGCATATATGCATGCAGGTGACCAACACTGCCAATGGAAAAAGCGTGATGGTGAGAGTGCTGGATACATGCACCAGGCCATGTTTGGATTTGGACTATCCAGCGTTTTCTGAGATCATGGATAACAAAGGCAGGCAAGACTGGCATCTTACAGTGAACTATGAATTTGTGGATTGTGGTGATGATCCTACAGTTCGTCTCCATCATGAAATCTAATAGAGAAAATAACCTCAGTGACCAAAAATCTCAGATAATATACGATTTTGATCAATTTTTTTTGGATTTACGAAAATGACCAACAAAATCGCAATGCGATCTCTAATTCGCATTGCGATCTCCACTATCGCAAATTCGCGTTGCGATAATTGAAAATCGCATTGCAATAGTTGAAAATCGCGTTGCGATTTTCCATTTCGCGTTGCGATTTTCCAGTTCGCGTTGCGATAGTTGAAAATCGCGTTGCGATTTTCCATTTCGCGTTGCGATTTTCCGTTTCGCGTTGCGATAGTTGAAAATCGCGTTGCGATTTTCCAGTTCGCGTTGCGATTTTCCAGTTCGCGTTGCGATAGTCTACAGTTGTCGTTGCAATTTTCCAAATTCGTTGCGATAGTCTACAGTTGTCATTGCGATTTTCCAAGTTCGTTGCGAAAATCGTGTTGCGATTTTCCATTTCGCGTTGCGATAGTTGAAAATCGCGTTGCGATTTTCCATTTCGCGTTGCGATAGTTGAAAATCGCGTTGCGATTTTCCATTTCGCGTTGCGATAGTCTACAGTTGTCGTTGCGATTTTCCAAATTCGTTGCGAAAATCGCGTTGCGATTTTCCATTTCGCTCAGTTCGCGTTGCGATAGTTGAAAATTGCGTTGCGATAGTCTACAGTTGTCGTTGCGATTTTTCAAATTCGTTACGAAAATTCGTTGTGATAGTAAAATAAAAGATTTTGTTTGTTAAGAATTTTCTCTAAAAAGATAGTATCCGCGCGGACGTGTCGAAGACACGTATTACCACGACCACGACCACGACCACGACCACGACCACGACCACGACCACGACCACGAGACGAGACGAGACGAGACGAGACGGACGGCGGCGGCGGCGCGCGAGAGTCTCCTTTGTTCTCTATCACTCAACAAGGAAGTGGGAAAGCCAAGCCTTAAATACCATTCTCAATAATGTTTCCAATACTATGTGGGATTGAGCATTACCAACACTTGTTTCCAATACAATGTGATTATTCAGGAAACAATTAACAATCATGCACCTTAAAACAACTGAATCAGCAACCAATTGCATTAGTATTATACGATTAAATATGTCATAATTAAAAGTCAATCTACAATCAATCGCGATTATTTTAATTTTAAGCAAAACATTCAAAAATAATATCACTATTTAAGGCTCAATCCCACATAGTATTGGGAACAAGTGTTGGTAATGCTCAAATCCCACATAGTATTGGAAATACTATTGGGAATGGTATTTAAGGCTTGACTTTCCCACTTCCTTGTTGAGTGATAGAGAACAAGGGGGACTCTCGCGCGCCACCGCCGCCGTCTGTCTCGTCTCGGGTCGGGTCGGGTCGGGTCGTGGTTGTGGTCGTGGTAATACGTGATGGGAATTTCAACTATCGCAACGCGATTTTAAACTATCGCAACACGATTTTCAACTATCGCAACGCGAAATGCAACGCGAATTTGCGATAGTGGAGATCGCAATGCGAATTAGAGATCGCATTGCGATTTTGTTGGTCATTTTCGCAAATCCAAAAAAAGTTGGTCAAAATCGTATATTATCTGGGATTTTTGGTCACTGAAGTTATTTTCTCTTATTTAACTTTAAATTTCATTTTGAACCTCATATCCACTTGGTTTCATGATCAACATATTAGATAAATAAATAAATATGCAGCTACTGCATGTAATAGCTACCTAGCTAGAAATGCTTGCTTGTTCTTCAGTTTGTAATAATGATTATCCTGTATAACAAGTGTACGTGGGATTCCTGATCACTGCTTCTTCTTTTTTTTTTGAAAAATGGGTACTTTGTATTGAAGAGATACAAGGTACACCACCCCATGGTCCTCATTAAAAAACCTCCCTAAACCTATTAGAGGAAAAAGAGTGATCCATGAGGTGAAAAGAACAGAAAGCCAGAACTAGCTCCTGAGATACAGGAAACTTCAAAGAAACATCAACCTGTAGTTATGAAAACAGCTACAAACAGAAACAGAAACCGGTCGAGAAGAACACATAAGAAGGAGCAGCAAAACAACTAGCCACATAACCTCTTGCGGAAAGGCACCAAAGCGGAACTCAGCAAATTCAACAAAATGAGAGAACAACCTCGAACTAACAACTAGAACCTTGAATCATGGCCACAAAAAAGAACGACCTAAACTCCAAACTTCAAATCCAACGGCTCCATGACTAACAACCAGAGAAACTAAAAGAAGGAACTAATACCGTTGTAGTACCCTGAAGAACCCAACACAAACTGAACAAAAGCCTCCAAAACGTGGAATACGAATAACTAAACAATCAATAAAAACACCAGCCAATCAACCCTATCACATAAATCTTCAAAAATCAAAACAATAACACCTCAACAGACCATAACAACCAAAGATAAACCATAAACCACATAAGTCAACTGACATTAACTCCAGCCCACCCCACAAGCCTCCACAGAAATGAGCAAAACAACGATTTCCTGACTCCAAAACATCAAGCACAAAAAATCGTCAAGAACAACACCCTAACATTCGGAATGAAAAATCCACCATAACACCACAGAAACCAAGATTACAACACCATGGTACGACCAATAAAATACTCCCTTCACCCCCTCATCAAAGGAACCTAAAAAGAACTAGACTCACTCCTTCACAGACAAAAATCTAAACAAAGGACACACGTAAGAAAACTAACAAACTCCTCGATCCAGGCCCTCACTACAAATCGAAACAAAACACAAACAAAGTTGATCACAAAAACCGACAAGCAAACACCTAAACAACCCCAATAATACTCTAACTAACCTCAACGCATACCTAACGACAAAACCTACTAAAAAACCACAGTTTCAGGACTACCATACATAAGACCGAGTTCCCTAACTAAAGACACCGCCTCTTGATCACTGCTTAATTATCAACTCGTTTGCTTGCTTCTATGCATTACTCTCTATTGCAGCTCCCAAGGTCCGTAATATCATTATTATCTAATTATAGCATCAGGCTCATTCATTTATCTCCTCATTGCCAATTTAAGAATAATCTTAGTCATATTAAAAAGTCAAAATTGCCAATTTAAGTGAAATAGTTAAGCACTCGTTGTTTCTTATTTTGTTGATACAAGACATGAACTAACAGTATACGAGGTAAAAGGTGATCTGATATGTTCTTGTAGTCACCATTTTTCAAACGTTGTTGTTATTGTTATTATTATTATTATTGTTATTATTATTATTATTATAAAATATTATTATTATTATTTATTACAAATCGGGCCCAACATATAAAACCAACCCCAAATACAAATTCGAATACCCGAAGCCTATAAGAGGAGGCCCATATGGATTAGGGTTTTGTGTTTTTCTCTTCAGCCACCAAAAGCCACAACTGTTGGATCAGATCTAATATGATGATACAGATCAACTGTAACATTAGGGTTTTATCATTAACCCTAAATGTTATAGTAGTCGTTGGCATTATCACCAATGCCAATGTTACCGCTAAGCGATTCCAGTCGCCATTTCCAGATATGTCTCATCACCCAACCACGTCGATCGTCGAAGCCATCTTCCAGTCAGAGCCACTGAACTAAGTCTCATCAAAATCCCAACACGGCCCCGAAAAATCCAGGGCATTAAAAATGCAAATCACCATCGTGCATAGGCAAACAGTGAATGCCAGAGGAGCAAGTAGAGATTAGGTGTTATTTTTGTAAAAAAAACATGTGTCTTATCTTTGTAAAATTCGGGTATAAAAACTCAAAAATCAACATGTAAAAGGGATCTCCCCTCGTTTTAGAGAGCAATACAAAAGCAAAAAAAAAAGTAAAAACGTATTTTTCTTTTTCTTTAGCAAGTTTCGAATATAAAAAAATAAAATATATTAAAAGGGGTAGAAGAGTTTAAGGGGTATCTAGGCCTTGCTTAGGGGGTTTTTAGTTTCAATTTGGGTCTATGTGAATAGATCAGGCTGTTTAGAGTTTCTTTAGGATGTTTGGGAACTCCAGTCATCGTGGGTGGTGGCCGGAACTACAGTCGGGACATAGGCGTGGGGTCTAGTGAGGCTACCCGGTGAGAGGAGAAGAAGGAGTTGAGAGAGATGAGAGGTTTTTTTTGGAGGATGGGTTACAAATGAAAAAAAAAGAAAAAAAATGGGTATTATAGTGAAACTTTAGGGGTTAATTTCATTTTAGTCCTCGTACTTCTACCGTGTTTTTATACTTCGATCCTGGATTTTCGTTGATTTATTTTAGTCCCAAAGTTTTTTTCCTGGTTGTGTGATTTTCCCTTTTATGTTTACTTGTTAATTTTAGGGTTAATTAGCTTATAGACATTGAATATTGTTGGATTATTTTCTTTTAAGTCCTTAAACTATGTTGTGTTTGTATGTTAGGCGCTATTCACTTGGTTTTTTTCATTTATTTGTATTTGATGTATTACTTTAAATTTTTATTTTCGTTCTTGTTTCTTTAATATATATATATTTCATAGTTTTTTTAATTATATTTTAATATATGGTTGTAAACATTTAATATAAAATATATGATATAATATTATATGTAGATAGAATAAATATATTTTGGATGTTTGGTGGGTATTTCTTATTTACTTAGTATTAAACATGTAACATATATATATAACAAAAATTCTTATAAATGTTTGTCATTAAAAAAATATTTTTAGTATTTTAATAAGTACCAATATTGAAAAATAATAGTTACCATTAATATTATAAAATTCACTGTTAACTATTCGACAACCTATGGAAGACCTCCAAATACTTGGAGTGCACTTCCAATGGTTATTTGAATAAATTTAATATTTTATTGTTATTCAATATGTGTTTCTATTTTGTACATAAACCTTTTTCTAGAAAATATATTTTATATGTATTTTCTTTATACAACGAAATTATTTTAAATAAATATGTATTGTATCCTTTTTATTGTTCATTTGTTACATATTTGAATATTTCATTCGTTTTA